TTATAATTCCCGGTTTGAATATTGAATAGACAGGTCATTGGAAATACTTGCAAACAAGTTGTCGAACAGGGGTCATTTGGTCCATTAACTTGTCTAGCTATGACAAATAATTGTTTGGTAGTTGACCATAAAATTTATGTAAATAATGAATAATACTACATAATTTATATACATCATATTATATGTAGCGAAAATAGTCTTATTTATTTTAGATTATATTTCTATCATTATTTATTTTAAATTTTCACTGAAAACGTTAAAGCAATTAAATTTGTTGAAACTAATAATATTTTATTTTATTATTTTACCAATTTACACCAAACAAAATTTTATAATACAGCAAAACAAATCACAATTATTAATAAGAAATGATTACAAATAAAATTATTAACAGTATAACAATTAACAGGTAAAAATATATTTATATATTAAGTGAGTTTAAGATGGTCCATAATCAAAGGTAGTAATAACAGTTTACAAATATAACAAAATTTAATATACAAAATAAAAGTGCTAATATAAAAGATACGTATATAAAACAAAGTGCATCTGGAACTGAATTATTAATTAAAAGTTAGATCCTCTTTGACAGTACACATCTTCCTAATAATTGGCCGGTTACGGAAGTAGTTTGTTACTACCTACTATCAAACTAAAAATGAAGTTGTTATTTTTGATTATATTCGGTCTTGATTAAATTTAGAAGACAAAACATATTTAAATTTGCTCCAATAAATAATTAGATAGTTCAATCGCTGACCTGATATTCGTAAACCATCCACTGTTGATTTGGTTAAAAATTCTTCTTTTAAAATATTTTGTTTATTAAGTTGGTCTTCCCAATTGTCAAGCCATATATGATTATCTTCTAAAATCTGATTAAATAAAAAATATAAATGTATAATAAAAACATAACATTTAAGGCTATTTTTTATATTATTTGTATTTTATTAAGAAAACCTCAGTTTTTGTTATTTATTTTAATGTGAGGGGTAAGCGCCTTGGGGTAATCAGCATACTTAGAGCTGGTAATCATAATTCATAGGTAATATTAAGTAATCATGTGTAATAAAAAAAAAAAATATTTTACAATGTTTAATTGAGAATTAAACAACTGTGAGTATGAACTAAAATTAAAATATACTCAGGTTCAGGTACATACCTAATAAACAAACAATAATAAAATACATTATTTATCAATTGTAAATATTTGAGTTTATTTGTGACTATTGTCTAGTGTTATTGTGTTAAAACTAAGAACAATGTAATTTTTAATAACTACTCCTAAAAAGTACAACACAAAAGTATAACACAAAATGGTAAAATCTTTAAATGTAGGAAAACATTCATACATTCAACATTCATACTGAAGTAAAAATATATAATTGTTCAATAATAAATAAAAATGCATATTTATTACCAGGGTAAATTTATTTGTATTTCCTATATTATGTGACATACAACATAGACAAAACGCATTTACACACAATCATTTTAGATTCTGAGTGAAACGATGAATGTATTGATTTTACAATGATGTGTGTTTTTTAGATTCTGAGTGAAACGATGAATGTATTGATTTTACAATGATGTGTGTTTTTTTTTATTTTTTTTGTATCTGTGTACACGATAAGTAGTCGAAATAATGCTTCGATTTTCGACTTCAGTATCTTGTTCGATTGGAAAGTGAATATCGTTGGTGCATTGGGGAGGTCAAAATTTAAAATTTACAGTACTTTTCAAAAGCGCCAAGAAAAACAAAAGAAAAATTGAGGAAAAACGGGAATTTTTACGCAAAATCGATTTTTCAGAAAATTGAATTTGGTTTTTGGTGTAACTTTAAAACAAATGACCGTAGGTTCATGCAATTTTCACTGGTTGTTTATATTTGCATCTTCTATACACGATAACATTTTCAAAATATTTTGATTTATTTTGAACAATTTAGGGACATTTTCATTTTTCATTAGTTTTTTTTCTAGAAATATCAATAAAATTTTATTTGTTGGTTGCGAAAGCTTGAAAATTTAATAGAAGGCTCCTAATATATTGTTTCAAAGGCAGATGAAAAATATTAAAAATCCTTAGTCACAATTTTTTTTTATAAGCATTTAAAGTTCAAAAATTGACAAAATATGAAAAAATCACGAAAATTAGCAAATTATTTTGAGTTAAGAATTCGTAAAAATTTTTCCTTTTAAATCTAAGATTTGAAAATGTAATACAAGATTACTCATAAGTTTGTCTACCTGTATCAATAAAAAAATCTCTACCGGACAGTTAAATTAAATTTTTATGAGCGTTTGAAATTCAAATTTTTACAACATTGGTTATTCACTCGATTTCTCATGTAGCGATTTCCTTATTTTGTTGTAATTCAAAAACGAATAACTGTAGATACATGAAAATTTCACTGAATGTTTATATTAGCATTTCCTATACACCATACGATTTTGAAAATATTTTGACTCTTTTTGAGCTGTTTACGGACATTTTCATTTTTCAATTTTTTTAGTTTTTTTTTCTATGAATATCAATAGTTTTATCTGTTGGGCCAAAAAGTGTAAAAATTTAATACAAGGCTCCTGACATATTGTTACAATATCAGTTGAAAAATATTAAAAATACATATGCACAATTTTTTTTTATAAGCATTTAAACATCGAATTTTGACAGAATTTTTCAAAATCTCGAAAATTATTAATCATCATAATTAATAAATTATAAAATGTTCAGTTTTTATAGCTAAGGATTGAAAATTTAAAACAAGATTCCACGTAAGTAGTTAATTCTCTTACCGAAAAATCTAAAAAATATACAATCACAGTTCATTTTTATAGTCATTTTATGTTCAAATTTGGACGAAATTACATATTAAAAAACCTAGTTATTTTGTTGTGATTATATAATATTATTCGTGGGTACCTACTTGAAACTTCTAAAGTGTACTATTATATATCTATGATAGTATCAGGGTTTGTTATTGATGTTGATGTATAACGTGTTATAAGTACCTAATGGATATTGTGATAATGTGATATGATTAATTTGGAATTTATTATAGGTCAATTTTTTTTTTAATACCATAGATATGTATATAATTTGTCTTAAACCTAGACTGACATACCGTCTTCGCTCAGAATCGTTTTTCTTATACAATGATATTGTATCATTGAATTCAAATTTAAAAGCATCCATTATACAGTGACCCACTTGTAACCTACTGTACAGCAGAGCGACATAAACTTACCCACCTTTCTTTTTTTGTAAATGACTTGTTCTGTTTTTAAGTAAGGTGAAATCATCCATTACAAAAATGATAATATTTTTGAGGGTATGACATATCGGTTTCTCATTATTTAAATTTTGAAAGTCGAATAATAATAAAACTGATAATATATCAAATCCTCAAAAATATTATCCTCTATAATTATTGTAATGAGTGATTTTACTCTAAGGTTACTAAACAATCATACAAAAAACTATTTTAGGTGAAAGTGTTTTATCTATGTTGCACATGGGTTTGAAAGAAAAAACAAATATTGTGCTGATATCCTCTTAAAGAAATTTCCCTATAGGGTGTTTTTGAAAAATTAATAAATAATTATGTTTTATAACTATTTTTTAAGCTCTTTATTTTAGCATACTCTATAAAATTCAACAACCCACTGAGTTTTGGTAAAAATCTAAATAAAACACAAGTTTGTTGAAAATAACATTGATTAAACTGTACAATTAAAATACTGGGTGATTCTTTTATCAAACAACACTCATTATTTCAAAAAGTGTAAATTTTTTGAAGATATTTTTTTACATAGTTTCAAGTCACTTATAAAACAACGTTTATATTAAAAAATTATATTTTTAATTATTTTTTATCCTTATAATTTTTTAAGTTTTTTACTTTTTTGAATGACAACATAGGGTTTTAATCTTATATTCTAAAGTAGAATATTTTTCTTAGTATTTTGATACATGAAAATTGAATTTGGGGTGAGTAGTTTATGAGTTATAAGTATTTAAAGTTTAGACGAGCGGTGAAGTGGACAAACATTTCGCGGGGTAACCCCGAACCACTCCACTCCGCTCGTCTAAACTTTAAATACTTATAACTCATAAACTACTCACCCCAAATTCAATTTTCATGTATCAAAATACTAAGAAAATTATTCTACTTTAGAATATAAAATTAAAACCCTATGTTATCATTCAAAAAAGTAAAAAAACTTAAAAAATATTTAAAAATATAATTTTTTAATAAAAACGTTGTTTTATAAGCGACTTGAAACTATGTAAAAAAATATCTTCAAAAAAATTTACACTTTTTGAAATAATGAGTGTTGTTTGATAAAAGAATCACCCGGTATACTAGAACATATTATTCATTTGTGTGGCCAATTTAACTTTCATCATACTAAAACTATCATTAAATATATTGATATATGTCTATGTATGATTTTAGGACACACTTTAATTGGTGAATTAGACCTACTATTCAAATTATTGTTAAAGAATCAATGAGTCCAATGTAACTATTTCATCTAATGTAGGGTTTTTTTGATGTTTCCTATATTATACTATATGAGAATTTTAGGGTTTACATCAAATTATTTTTATAATTTCATAAAATTATTATATATTTACTCTTAATCTTTTTTATTTTATATTAAAACTATTGCAAAAATTCTTGATTAGATGGGGTGCATCAGAGAATAAATAATATGTATTTTACCATCCAAAGGATGTTCAAATTTGTATTTAAAGTATCCTTTTCACCACTTACACCCATTTTTCACCATAATTGGCTATTACAAGTTGCTCCGTCTGACACTAATCCATCCACCTAAGCACCAGCATTTTCAAGAAGATTTTAAGACTAATTGAGCTGTACCTATTATTAAAATGGTTATATTTAATATTTACCAAGTATTTTAAGAAACATCAATAACTTACAATTCAAACTGAAACAGTTTCTTTGACCAACAGTTTTTGAGGATTACTTAAATTTTCTGAATCTGAGATTTGTTTTGTTCAGTCATTTGATAGTTTTTTTGTTTTTCTTGTAGCTCTTTCAATTCAAAATTGATCTTTGTAATAGAAGTCTTTAGCCTGCAAATTATGAATCAATACCAACAAATTAGATTTCTTATAATTTAAATCAAACCTAAAATTGTTCATCCTAATTATGCATTCAAATAAGTTTAACACTTATACTGATGCGTAAGCGTAACAATAAAAATAATAAAAATATTGAATTTTATAATATTATGTTACCTTGCATTGGATCTTTTCAAATTTTTTACTATACTACATTTTGTTGGCGAAAGAGTACATCCAATGTGTGTTGATTGTTTTACTTGCTTCGACGATTTCCCAAAATATTTAATCAAGAAGTTGCAGGCTGAACATTTTTTTGTTTTTATGTCTATTAAAATTGGACATTTTTGGTGACGCCACAATTGATTATTTTCCAAGATTGCAGTTTTAACTTGAACTCCTGAATATCATATTATAACCATGAAAGTATCTAGGAATTTTTGATTGCATTTTATTGGCTATATGAATAGGAATAATGTTTACCTGGAAAATTGATTGATCTTGGACCACCTCCACAAATTTTTTTTAAATCAAGAACTTTAATTAATTCAGCCAGACTTGTTAAGCTAATTGGATATTTTAATGTGCTGCTTATTTTTTCAGTTTGAATAGTAAATTGGTAAACATAAACACATATTTCCAACGTACTTTTAAAAACTATTTGTTTTTCTATTTTCATTTTATCATCATTGAATTTTGGTTTATAAAAAACAATTTCATCATTACTAAAATGTGAAGTCCATCCTTCTGGTAATACGGCTCTTTTAAAATGTACTGTTAGGTCATTAAATGTCAATATTTCAACAATATTTTCCTAAAGAAATCAAGTTTACAAATAAAAATAACTATTATAATAATATTATCTAATAGTAAAATAATTAAATTAAAAACAATATTTAAAATAATTTAAAATGTTTATTTGGAGGTTTGTTAAACTTATATGGTTTAATATTTTCACTTATAACTTCATTAGCCTTTAATTATAAAATTAAATTATTATCATTGATTGTAGATAGATTGTAGACTGATAGACTGATTGTAGTAAACAACATGAACTCTGGAATATTATTACAGTCAACTCGCGATAAACGAACTTCAAGGGACCGAGAAAAAAATTCGTTATATCGAAAGTTTGTTACATCGAAATTATATTATACCGCGATATTTTCAAGGGACCGGTAGTTTTATTCGTTATATCAAGATTTTAGTTATATCGATATTCGTTATATCGCGAGTTGACTGTATTATTATTTTTTTTTAAAGAAAAACAAACATACAATTATTGAATTATACAAGATACATTATTTGAATTATCACTAGTATTATTCACTAATTTAGTATATTATTCTATAATATATACCAGGCGTGCCCTGGAAGTATTCCAACCAGCCGAGAATATTTTATAAAATTATAAATTTGTATAGATAGATAGGTAGTGCAAATACAAATAAAAATTATTGTAATTTTAACAACCTTTAAGAATTATAAAATGTCTTACAATTGTGTAGTTTCTAATGACAAAAACAAAATTGTTGACTAGCGTGGAAATATTGAACAAAGATAATATTATATTTATTGTATTTCTCAGAATGAACAAAAAACTGTGAAGTATATTAGGCCCGTAGTATAAATATGAATTTTGAATGTTGGGCTTGCCTGGTATTTACCATTAACTCGGGCATGAACTGGTAGTAAAGTTAATGGTTTATAAAAGGGATGGCCAACCCGCCTTGGAAAGTTTTGGGGCTCACAACATTTATCAAATATTTACAAAAAAAAAAATTATTTTTGTGCCGATAGAATATTCTGGAATGCCCACGCAACGCAGTATCTGTATTATTAACAACGTAATCGCAACAAAAATAATAATTCTAATCTAATCTGATAAAATATATACGAGTAGACACCAGCTTATACTTTTGAAAGTCGTTTCATTAATTTAGACAAATACAAGACAATATTTGAAATATATTCATCTCTTTTTCATACTGATGTCAATTCGGCCCCAGAATATCTTCAAATGGAACTCATTGACTTACAATGCAATAATGAATTAAAACATATTTTTGAAACATCAAAATCAAAAATAGATTTTTATAATATTAATATCACAAAAGAAAATTTTTCCAATTTGAGAAATCTGGCATAAAAAGTTGTGAGTGCTTTTGGATCGACTTACACTTGTGAATCGTTTTTTTCGAAAATGAAATTCGCCAAAGATAAATCACGCTCAAACCTAATAGATGAAAACCTGCAACATCAATTACGGTGTGCAAATACAAGCATTTCTATTGATTTAAAAAAGCTTAGTGAATGAGTTGAGAAACAAATATCTCACTAAATAGTAATGTTTACTCCATTTTTTTTAGTATTAAATACTTTTTTATATTTAAATTTTTTTTTAAATACGTTTATAATTTTAAGTAATTTTATATGTGGCAATTTTGAATAAAAAATTTATAAAAATATGTGATTATAATAATATTTTGGCTGATGACCTTTTTTTTTTTTTTGGTAACCCTATATGTGGCCCGCAGGATTGTAATGTATTTAAAAAGTGGCCCGCAAGATCATTTGGGTTGGCCATCCCTGGTTTATACTATAGAATAATATAATAAATTAGTAAAGTATACTAGTATTGTAATATACAACGAGATTTTATTAATGCGAATAACGTGCTCTATAAAAATAACTTTGGTTACTTCTTTGAGTTCTTTTATAGGAAAGGTAGTATCTACCTATATTAGATAATAATACATAAAAACAAGCAATTAGACAATTGGTACTTACAGACGTATTTTTTCTGACATTTTCTATGAATAACTTTTTTATTTTAGATTTATTGACTTGATGACTAACTGAACAATTGGCATAATTGTGATCAGAATTCAAATTATTGACAGAAGGTATCAATTCATTACTTATTTTATCAACAGAAGGAAAAATGGAAGGAACACTCCCCTTTTTTAAACCAATTTTGATTCTATTTCCAACTTCCTATGACATAAAATAATTAAATAATTATGTATAAACAAAATTAAATAAATATAGGTAGGTGGATAGTAATGTAATACTTACATTGGCAACATCGTCAGGAACTGAATATGTATTTAGTATATCGTCAGGTTGAAAATGTTCAGCACATACACGTTTTACTACTGTTTTCTCACGGTTAGCATTACTCACTGCTAAGTTCCAAGCTAAATAATTAGCTTTAGGTGCATTAAAAAAAGAAACCTTAGGGTTTCTTTTTACACTAGTGCATCCTTTTACACAACACTTACGAGTTTTCATTATTCAAATTTATTTCATTAATTAAAAATTATTTTAATAATAAATACACTTCATGAGGCTGTAACTTTTGTAAGTACGGTTGTAAGAATAGCAATATATCTTTATATTATATTCTTAGACCGTGGTAAGAACTACGAGGATATATCACAGATCAACTGAATAAATAAATATTAATATAAAATATATAAAATCATTCTGTGGATAAAATATATTTAATATAATCTATTATAAGGCTATAAGTCCGTATCACCGCGCGTGGTTTGAACAATTGAACCACGGACTAAGATATACAGGACTGGACACGAGATGAATATTGTGGTTACGAAATGTTTTACAACAGGCGGAGTTCGGGGGGATATTTTCCTTTTAGCATTACTAGCGCCGTCTTAGTGGATACTTATGGAACTAGATCACATTATTGTCATCTAGTTCCAAAAGTATCCACTAAGACGGCGCTAGTAATGCTAAAAGGAAAATATACCCCCGAACACCGCCTGTTGTACTACATTTCGTAGTCAACCCCCCACACCCTCCAACCTTGTCGTGTCCAGTCCTGTATATCTTAGTCCGTGAATTGAACTCCGTAATCCGTGGTAAATGATAATAAATAAAATATTGTTATCATATTTTAAAATGTGATGTCAAATAAAACCACCGGTAGCGCCAAAACCAGTTGTTCTCATTTATTAAAAAATAGCTATGGTTGCCGGTATGGCAATGATGAAAACAGTGGAAAAATTTGCTGTCAGTGGCGGCGTGGCCCATAGGCGTGCGCACTGGGGTTAGGTTAGGTTTTATTCGTTTCTATGGTAATAAGCAAAGCGTTAGATATTAAAATCCAATTTTTAGCGGTTTTTCGTAATTTATCGGTGGTTTTTACTGTGGCATTAAATAACTATTGATAAAATCGAAAAACGACCTCTCTAAATTACCATCTTGATCCAATTTTCTAAAAGATAGGTACTATATGTTGAAATCGAAGAACTCCTTCTGGTAGAAATTTTGTATACAGGATATAAAAAAAAATAAACACTCTCCGCTCAGAATCTAATATAGGTATATATATTATATTATTATTATACCTTAAAATTTAAACAGTATAGGTGATGATCGGCGAGTAAATGAATGTAATTTTATAGATAATAGTGTTTAAAATAATTTGTTCTAAGTATCATTGGCCCACTTTCATGACGTTTTGTGAAATAATTCGCATATTATATAACCTACAACCAAAGACAACCATTAATAAACAAAAAAAAAGTTTCGATTTCCACCTTGAATTTTAAGATCCCTGTTTTACTAGGTACCTCTTTAAAAAGCGAATATCAAAAAATCCTTTCTTATTGCATATCTACGATGGATCATATTGGTATTCGGAAAAAAAATCCCCAAATCTATACGACTATACCTAACTGTTGGATATACAGCTGTAAAAGGGTAAAAAATAATAGGTAATAACTAATAATAAAAGTTAAAACAATATAAAATTTGAATGATTATAATTATTATAATAATATTATCTAGGTCATACCTCAGTTCTGGATAAAATAAAAATAACTATGATAGTAATAAAACAATATAAAATGTGAAGGATAATTATTATAATATTATCAGACTTCAGTGCTGCATAACATTTTTCCAGTGATTTTTTTTCCTAGATTCAGATCATTAGAGTAACCACTAATAGTATTCCAAATATCAAGTTCGTACGTTTTGTATTTTAAAACCAATATTGTATATTTAAATAAGATATTGCTTGATAGATGGCGCCACTATTCTATTCTTACAACCCCTTATTTTCCACTTTAGGGATTGAATTTCCAAAAATCCTTTCTTAGAGGTCGCTTACGTCATAATAGCTATCTATATATACCAAAATCTAGCCAGATCCGTCTAGTGGTTCCGGCTAGGGGCGATGATGAATAACTCGGGACAAGTCATTTTATATAGGTACCTAGGTATTTTATAGATTATCTATTATTATATCCTAGTCTGTGATTCTGTTAAACCTTGTATCTTTTATCATAATAATATTTAAAATTTATAAAATTTCCGTTTTTATAGTTGAAAAGACCTTATAGTTCTCAAAGAACGAGGAAGTGCTAATACCTATAACTGGATCTGGAGCAGGAACCTTTAACCTTTTAGGCACCGGCCACCTATTTTTTTAAATTCTCGTGGTCCGTAATCGTAATAAAAACACCTATTAAATATTTAAATGATTAATGATATTTTTAAAATGTATTTGCATGCGGTAGGCATCTAATAAAGACAAGACGGACCATGGGTTGGAGGCCGCTGATCATTAGCTCCAAAAAATCGGATCTATGTACGAACATTGAAATACGTAGATGTTTACTTTTCCGTTTCAGGCTCCAGCAATACTTGTCTATTTTATATTATACATTTCTGCTATCATTGGCAATAAATCAGAGACTACATTTGGCTTCGAAGACGTCATTTTCATCACGTCTGGAATTAACCAATTTTTAAGCTCGAGAAAAAACACCAACTCTTAACGAATTTCTTAGCATAATAATGAATATTTTTTTATCTAAGGTGCTGCTGGGACGTAAATTATTTCAAGGATCATATTACTCAATATCAATCGGTTCACAGTGATGAAAAATTAATTAGGTACTTATAACAAAAAATAATAAACTTATAAGGTAAGTGTCTCACTGACGAATAGTTATTTAGTTATTATCTTTATTTTTACATTTTTATAGATTATAATAACCTTAGAAAGTAACATTTATTGTACATTAATTTTATTGTTAAACGATGACCGATGTTAATCTTTAATAATCTATAAAAATGTAAATTGTTATACCTATGTGCTATGTCAAACAGCAATATAATATATACTATTGAACGGGAAAATGTATGAAATAAATATTTAAATTATCTTTAGACCTTAATCTGACATCAAACTTGTTTTCAAGTATATGGAATACAATTCGCCGCCTATTAATATTTTTAAATTTTTTCTATTTTATAAAACAAAAAATTCATTTATTATTATTTACTGATTAAAATGTAATATACCTATAGCCTATAGGTAATTGTTTATGTCGTGTTCAATTTTCTTCGTATTATCAATAAATTCATGAAAATGAAATAATATTTTACAGATACCTATGTAATATTCACAATTCACTGTTTATATTTGTGTTTGAAATGTGTATAATATAATATATTATATATTATATATATTATATATATTAGTAATTTAGTCGAAATTTTCAATGCATTATTCGATCTCAAAATACCAAAGATAAAAAACACGTTACAAGGACATGCGTGTATATAATAAAATTAGGTATTATTTAAAAAAAATAAATCCGTTTGTTTTATTTCAGAAAATACATTTATAACATAGACGAATAAATAAGGGGCATTGTGATTTGTGATTGTGAAGCTTAATTATTTGTTATGAAATTCAATTTTAAAAACACTTATATGAAGATTTAAAGTGCAAAGTTAGGGGGAAAAGGTATGACTCACTCAACTCAAAATTATAGCTATATCCGTATTCAGTTATAAAAGATGTAGGTAATAGGTAAAAATTATTATTATTTCATAGAAGTATAGAACAATTGTAATAACAAACAGTCACTGAAGAAATGTATACTTAATAAAAACAGGTATTAGTTTGATAAATTATAAATTAAGTTCTTAAGGAGTTTGCTGACGAAGATCGTAAACTTAAATTTGGTGGTACCTATAATGTGATTTATATAAATGTATAATGAATGTCAGGTAGGTACCTACTTACATAATAAGTACTAAAATTTCAGTTAAGGTAGATACCATACGTTTGTGTGGGTAATACTTATTACTTTTATTATATATAATCTAAGTAGGTATCATATTATCCCTATTAGGTATTAATTGAATATTTGAATTACTATAAAGTATTATAACGCTTCTATGTACTTGATATTATTTGTTTATAACATTAAGTTATACGTAAACTAAAAATGTTAAAGAAAATTCGTAATGCAATCGAAAGTAGGTTATATCGCTACGAGATTAAGGAGTCCGTTTTTAGAGACATTTCACATTTAGCAATTCCCCACACCCCCGCAGTTTTAAAAAACAATAATTCATCAATACGAGATTCTACAATAATAACCTTACATAATATTATGAATTAGGTATGTTATATTGTGATAGACGGTCGAGACTTACTGCAACTGCTGATAAACCCACGTGACCCTTTGAATTAATTTTTTTTTAGACTTCTAAGATTTTGTTAATTTAATTGTTTTTTTCTTATTATTATTATCATCATTTTTGTGATCGGCGATCGCCGTGATTTTAAATCGTATTCGGCGGGCACGTCCGAAGACCTCCGGCTGTAGACACTAGACAGTTCGTCTTCGGCATCCAACGAATAGTGTTTTTGACTTTGTGCTCCCCCAATCAAGACCTCTCAACCACTCCTACCCCGAATACCCTTTGTGTAGGCAGACATAATATTATGCAACTGACCACTGTCTTGCACGCTAGATACTATAATACACGACACCAACTACTACTACTACTACTACTATTATTATTATTATTAAATTATCAACGTCATTGTCATTTCGTCGTTAAACATTTCGAGTGTTCCAAAATAATATCGCTTTATTATTTTTTGTATAAAAATAAATGTTTTTTATAGAATTATTCAGCGTTGTTTATCGTAATACCTATCTAAGAACAATAAAAATATTATTTCGGTAGTGTTTTCGTCGTCGTTATCGTCGGCCATCGTCGTCGGACACCATGAGTGATATTAATTTGTCTATTAATTCGTCGCCCGACAACAGTGATATTATTAGCTTTCAGTCGATCGACAACGAGTCACCGACAGTTGTGGCTCAGCAATACTTCGAAAATTCAACCATCGGAGCTCCCATATTACCTCAGGTAAGCGAAATATTCAAATTACAAAAAAAACTATAGGTACCTACACCTATAGGGACATTATATTTTTTTTAAAGAAATGTCTCTTAAGAAATTAAACAGCTTGTATCTATAGGTCGTACAAATCATAGAAAATGGTACAAATCACAATTACTTATACAATCTGATGTTTGAACGTTTTAAAAATTAAAACCTACCGATTAGTTGCTCTGTGTAATAATGATATTATTGTGTGTTAACATTTTAAAATGTTCAATGCAGAAGAGAATCATTGCAGTTTCTCTATCATAATAGCATTGATTATAAATACTAGTTATAAATACTAGTATAAAGTAAATACTAGTTATAAATACTAGTACTTTTATAATCAATGATAATAGTTAATAATTTAATATCAGCTTTCAATATCGTTATTCGCATAACCCCGTGTCCTACGTGAATCCGACAAACGCGACTAAAAACAAAACAGTTTGCATTTCATCTAATCGGTATTCGGTAGCATCGTATTGCGACGGAACATACTGGTCAGAATAGAAATCGCCGGATTTACGTAGGACAAGGCGTAATCGTATCCAAAAGTAAAAAGTTCTTAAGTCATAATTTATATTATTATAACAATAATATAAATAATATACTTTACAACAATTAAAAAAAAAAAAAATTATAGGCTTAACAATTTACAGTAAAAAAATGGAGGTTTCTCGGGTGGTTTTTGTTTAAAAAAAAGTTAATTTCGTCACAGCGATAGTTGTAGGTATCAATTGATACCATGCATTGTAAATCACTCTCTGTAAGTAGGTACCTATTTATTTTTACTTTAAACACTTAAAATATATAAGGTAGATATTATATTGCCTGATATATTATGTGCATTATAATAATTCATTCCTAGTTCAAAATACAATATGGGTTTTACGTTTATAACTTATATGTCATAACTCATAAAGTTATAACACTCGTAACCCATAGTAGAAAAATAAAAATTAATTAAGGTCAAATTAATTTGTTGGTGACATATTATAACACTATATGATTATATTGGTATATTCTTTAAATTAAACAAAAACGAAAAAATTTGATGCCTATATGCCATAATAGGTATAAGGCTTATAACCCGCCCAGTTCATCTTGGCCGATGACTGACGTCACAAACTACATACACAGTTGGCATTACTATACATTATAGAACATTGTTGAACAATATTATATAATTTATAACTAAATATTTAATACTCTAATTATTAGTACATAAAAACAGAAAACGAGATAAAAATAACTATATTTAGTATATTATTATGTCCTTCGATTTCCAACCACAAACATAATGTGAAATGTGTGCGTATCGATTGGGTGGTATATATATTGTGTATTATGTCATTTTATTTTCATATATATCTATATAGACAAATCAAAAGTGACTCATGCAAATCATCATTTTTACAATTTTTTGAGTAAGTATAGGTAATACTAATTTATAGGTACGTGGTGTAACACGAAGACCTGACAAATTAAATAACTTGTTTCAATTAATATTTTTTAATATTTTTTTTTATTTTAGTTCATCGACACTTGCGCTACATGTATATTGTATAATATAAAAATTTTTTGCTTTTACTTTTTAATACTGAAAATAAAAAATTTTAAATATGATGTACCTAATTATTTTTTAAAAATTTATTATCGTATACATTAGTTAAACTAATATAAAACAGCGGAATTCGACAGGTAAAATCAGTGAGTTAAGCGTAACCGAGGTTTAAACTATGATTGTAAAACGGGCTCTAAGTAGGTTCTCATAAAGTATATAATAATTACTAGGTACTTAATTTATAGTTAATATTTAATATTAGATAGGAAAACCGAAAATTGATAATATATTTACTTCTGTCATACTATTTAATATTTATTAGGTAAGACTTAATACTTAATAAAAACTTGAAAAACATCTTTCATGTGTAGCAGTTGATACAGGCAAAGTACAAAATATTTTCAAGAGTTCATCAATATTTGTATGAAACTCTTTATCACAAACATCTAAAGCATGGGCTGCAACCGAATTGCATGCCAAAAAAAAAAAATACAAATTGCATGCCGTCTCTTGTGGGGTTTGTCCGAATTGCATGCTATCTTTTGGAGGGGTCTGTCCGAATTACATGCTTTCTCTTAGAAGGGTTTATCCGAATTGCATGCCGTGAATCACACGTTTATTTACTATGCACAATTTTAAATAAAAATGCATCTCTATTTTATGTATGGTTGTTACAACTGATTAGTGATTAGTTTCTAGATTGAAATATTTTTACACCCGTGTAAATATTTTCCCAAACTGTATCTGTATTGGAGTAATTAGTAATTGTAATTAGGCCCCTGAATAATTTTAAACTATTTTCCCTTTAATATAAACCGTTTTTAAAAATTCTATTACTATTTTATTATTCAAAAAAATATGTTTCCGGTATTAGTATTATTAATATATATTTTCCATTTTGACATATTTTATTATTATGAACTATTATTATATATATTGTATATTTAAATTGTAATATTGTGTGCCTGAAATGTCAAAAAAAACCCACCAAATTTAAAAATAATACTATTTATTTAAAATACTATGTAAATATGTAAAATACACTCACTTGATTACCCTAAATTACAATAGTTTTATTTAACTAATGGCCTTTGTTGTTGATGAAAAAAAAAGTTTAATTTAATGATTATTATTCACAGTGTCACCTTCTACAATATTTATATATTTTATTGTAATGTAACGAAATCCCGTTCCTCCAGTGGAAAAGTAAGTTATTTAGTCATTTTATTCGGACATACCCCTCTAAAAGATGGCATGCAATTCGGACAGACCCCTCCAAGAGATGGCATGCAATTTGGACATGCCGATTTATATTTATTTTTTTGGCATGCAATTTGAATGCACCGAAAGCATGTAACCCAGAGGTGAATACAATTATTTCCGTCACTGACTACACTTCAGTCACTAAAAATAAACCCACGCCCTGTGGTAAATCTACCGTCTTCAAGGTAATTTTGTTTTATTTACCGACTTTTTATCGGGTTTATTATAAACACTCATGCATGAAAAATAATTCGCAGAAAATTAAAAAATACAGTACCTACACCATACTACGATAGAGGTTTATGTTTTTGTTGTCCAATAGTCACAAACATGCCTCGAACGACTAGTGGCGTATAGTATATCAGAGCGGTAAAATTACCACGGCTAGAACATTTAGAAAACAGACATACTTAAAAGTTAAAAGTAATATCATATTGAGAATTACAGAAAATGAGAAAACTTAACTTTACAGAAAAAAAAGGTCAAGGGGTATTCATCCCCCATACCCACCCCGTAAATAAGCCACTGTATTTGTATGTATATTATACAATGTGCCCATTGTCCATGCTAACCGGGTTAAGTGGGTACTCGCCTCCACCTCGTTTCACCTGTCTAAGAGTATTCGCCAATCACCACTGCTTCATTTCTGCCGGACGATCATGGGATTTATGAGAGGTAATAGGGACTACTTCTGGGAATACTATAATTTTAATCTTAGTCATCTGAGACTCCATAATATCCATAATATATCTACAATCTATAGTAAACATAATGTATGTACACAAGTAAACAGCACCGAAAAGTATATAATTAGTTTAAATGTTATTGACAATCACGACTTTAAATTGATGTAGACTTTTACTGTTGAACATGTGGTTTGTTATTAATTTATTATTATTGTTATTCGTAGGATTTTTATCACGGACATAATTGATGACGGTACCGAAATAATTTACTTACAATAGGTATCTATTTGAATAATTTAACGTTAACACGTTGAATGTTCTTAAATTATTGTTGAATTATAAAATGTTTTATAGAAATGTGTCCACATAATAAAATTACCCAGTTAAGGTACCCCGGTACTCTATTATTTTTCCCTGTTGATTTTGTTTTTGTATTTTTCAATGGTTTTGTTGTTATTATCATAAATTACCATTATAACTACTTATGGATGACAGGTTATACAATCTTTTTCACGCTAAAGTTCACTATTTTACATTATGTTCAAAAGAATGATGTAGTTTATTTTTTTAAAAATAAGATTAGTGATAATTGTATATTTTTAGTCTAGGTGTATTAATCAAAATAACCAGAGATCATTAACATGGAATATATCGTTGACTGATGATCAAGATGAAGTATCTGAACACTTTTTAAGGATGTTTAATGAACCAACAACGGTTGCTGAAAAATTTGGTTCAGCTATTTTAACGGTTCCCGAGAACATCAGAAAACAAGCTGATGAATTATTCAAACCTTCAGAAATCAATCCAAACGAAATATTTGATTGGGTTAATACCAAAGTCTCGTGGATTCTTCCATCCAGCTATCAACAATACCTTAAGTCTATTCCTCCAAACGTAAGTATTTTTTTGGTATACTTATGCTATAATTATTTTCTTAGTTCAATTACTAATTAGTAACATACTAATATACTATAATAATATTATAGTGTACCTACCTAATAAGATAATAATTATTATCCTCATTAATTGTATTATACTATTATAGTGGTTATTGAAATACATTTGTATTTGTACAGATTAAAATAAACCGAACAATTTATCAGTATGTATACTGGTAAAAAATTCGATGATTTGAATATTATTAATCACAGACAACCCTTATAACGTGTGTTTTTGATTAATTATATGACGGTATTTTTTTTTTATTGTACTCGGAAATATAAAATTACTTTTATACCGATGGAATATTTAAAATAGGTACTTCCTACCGGAACAAAAATTTAATTTAAAGTATGCCGGTATTTGACGTAACATATTATGTACAATGTACCTATTATTTGATTTATTTGAAAAATGTACATGTATTTATGATCTATAATATTATATATCAACAAAATCAACTCTAGATGAATTACCCTTCAGAAACTTTTGGTATGTAGACGAGTTAAATGTATTTTTTCATACGGGTCGTCGGGTACCTATATTATTGATTTAGAATTAAAAAAACATATTACATGTATACCTTTAAAGCAATGTTCATAATATTATGGGAATGGGTAGCCTACACGTGCAGCTCTATTATTATAGAACAATCACTTCAAAACTATGTATGAGTATCTACATAATATTATAATGTGTGTAACTGCTTTATACCTATATAATTATAAATTATAATATTATAATAACAGTCGATGATCTATCCGCGACTGGCCCTTTCCTTCGAATAACTTATGCGTATAATATTATAATACCACCACTGATGCGCAGTGGCGTAGCCAGGGTGGGCTAAGGGGGCTATCCTCTCCATTGACTGTGTCAACCTTAGAATTTTATCAAGATTAATAAAAAAATTAAAAAGTGTAAATAAAAGACATATTTTATTTGTATACTTAGCCCCCCCTAACAAAATTCCTGGCTACGCCACTGCTGGCGCGTATATAATATTGTGATGACGACGACGACGACTATCTCATATTATTATATAGAATAGGATAACGATGCTGCTTTTTCCTTTTTTTTGAATCAGGTTCTGGAGAAGAGGGAAAGACACGTGTTGTACCCCTGGACGCAGTGGAACACGTCGACGGGCACCCATCACCGACCGTCGCTCAACAAAGCCGTTACTTCACCAGTGGCGTCCGACCGGTCGATGTCGTCGTCTTCGTTGTCTTCGCCGTCTGTCTACGCGCACACAGCATACGGAAGATCGCCCAACAACAACAACAACAACAACAACAACAACAACAACAGCAGTAGCAGCAGCAACAACAACAACAACAACTCGTTCGGTCACTGGGGCAACGGCAGTGGGGCGCCAGCGGCATCGGCATCGGCGGCGGCAGACTGCACGTTGTCGTCTTCGTCAGCCAGTGACCTGAGCTTTTCGTATTGGGCGGGCATAGATGCTACGTCTTCGCCGCAACAGCACCAACAGCAACAGCAGCAACAGCAGCAGCACTACCACCACCACCATCATCAACAACAACAGCAACAACAACAACAACAACAATCGGTCGGCTGGACACCAGTGACCGTCCGATCGTCACCCTCCGACTGCGGCCGGTCAGTGTCGTCGGCCGAATTCGTACAGTACAACACCACCGCTGACGGCCGCTCGCCATCGCCGACGTCTGTCCGCTGGCCATCTCGTCTTTTCTACTGCGTCAACGCCGACAGCAACACGATAAACAAGCTGGTGGAACACTACTGCACTTTTTGTTACAAGAACCACGAACCGCCCGAGGTTTACGGTGGCCACCTGGTCCGGGACGACACGCGCACCACTTGTCCTAAGCTCAGAGCGCTCCGGTGCAAGCACTGCAGAGGCACCGGTGACAACGCGCACACCATAAAGTACTGTCCGTTCTTATACTCAAACTACAGTTGATGGACGGCAGGCGATCGCGTAGGGTAGACGCGCGATCGAACGATTTCGTGGGGGGTTTGTGGGTGAAGGGTGGGTTATCGGTTGGGAAAAGGGTGAGAGGGGAGTGATTGATTTTCAGCGTCGATCTTAATTATTTTCATTTTGCGAATTTACTGCTCTCTTACCATTATGTATATGTTATTACCATAATCATAATAATAGTAATGGTAATGATTATTATTATTTTTTTTTTATTTCTTATCTTTCGTTCACACTCACTCGTGACTCGTGAGTTAATAACAATATCGACACTCTCGAACGAGCGGATAAGATAAGTACGATTTTATGCGTTTACAATGACCGTCGCCGTTTGTTTATCATACAATAATAATAATAATATAATGTGTGTTATATTATATTTAGCAGCCGGGGGATAATAATATAATATTACGCTTGTTCGTTGTTGCAATATGCGTCGTGCGTGCAGCGTGCACACACCGTGCACCGCGTGCGACGGCCGATCACGTCGCGATCCCGTCGTACATAATATTTACCACACGGCATTTCCTTCCTTACATTTTTACACTGTTGTATAACAATAATAAAATAATAATATCAACAATAACGACCGGTGTGGGTCTAGACTTTATTGTAGAAAGAAGATAAAAAAAAACCCAGAACTTAACTACAACGGATGTGTGGTGGTTGCTTTACGGTTTGTTATATTATTCTCTTTGCTATATATACTATTCGTTATGGTAAACTTTTTTTATTCGGTCGACAAGTCTTTATTTTTATTTTTTTTTTATAATTTATATTAATATTATATTTCGCGGATGTTATGTAAAATTCCCTGTGTAAGAGAAAAAATTAAAAAAAAAATTCTCGGAGTTTGTTTTGTTTCTTCATCGGTAGATAAAATATATTTTAAGTCGTCAAATTATACAAATTAATAGGTTATTGTTTATGTTGGCTATTAGTTATAACGTTTTTTTTAGTTGAATACGTTCTGCGATTTATGTTCTCGTTTATGTAATATTATACCTATTAAGTTTCGTGTGTTGCATGTTAATTATATTGTATAGGTAGTGAAACTTAAAAATATCAATCCATGTATCTTGTGATTAATTGTTAGCAATAATATATTATTAATAAGTTTTAAAAGTTTTAATTCAATTTTCAAATGTATTCAAATTTTGCTCAATGTTGTTATTATAAAAATAAGCGAATACATGTACTGTAAATCGTAAATCGTATATGTAATATTATAATTTGTAAAATGTAATTAATAATTATGTGATATTTTTTTTGTCTCGAAAGAAAACAAAAATGTATAGTTTTGCGTGAATAGTATTTCAATATTTTATTATAAATCCTGTTGATACATGACTAATAAATGAACTATAATTAACTACGATGAATATATTGTTACGAGTAGAGTATATTATATTGCTAATATGTACACTGACAATGGAATGTTTTTCGATAAAACCACTTACATTTTCCACGGACAGTTTCATATAGATAAAAGAAGTAAAGTTAAATATTTAATACACAAATAATGAATTATACAACTATAATTTTCGATTGGATGAGAAATACATCTAAAAATAAAACGTTTTTAAAAGCTATTTTCTACCCAATCTTATAGTAATTTTGTCTGAAATTGTATTTACATTCATATTTTTAGTATCGTAAAGTAAAATGAAAGTATACAGAGTGATTTTTTTCTTGTTTTACATAGGTAATACGTCATACGACATACCATCATACATTTTTGTGATTTAAAAAACTAAATATATATTTACATAATCCTTAGATCGGGGGGGGGGGGGGGGGGGTTACAGGGTGCTGTCAACAATAAACATAGGCGCCGATATACCTATAAGTGTTGTATATTATATATATATTTTATACTTATTCAGTAAAAAAAAAAAAAAAATATTGTACTTATGTTTAATTTCCAAGAATGTTTGATGTGCTTTTATGTTTCCCCAATATTATAATTGATAAAATTATAACACAAACATTGTGAAGAAGGTACCCATAAAATAAATTTTTGGTTTTATTAAGTTAGCTTTTTTATATAATTTTGAGTACGCAGGGAGAAGAAATGTGTAGGTTAGGTTCGGTTAGGTATTTTATACTTTTATACCCATACATTTATTTACGAAGTGTAAATACCTCTGTACACTAGTATCCACAATTTACAATAAATACATTAAAAATACCTACACAGTGCCGACGCTAGGGGAGGGACATTTGTCCAGGGCCCCGTGATTTTTAATTATCATCTTAATACGAATACCGTGGTCTACCGTCGGATATTGCATTATTCTGCCTGCAGCGGTTGCGTACTTAGATATTAAACAATTTATTATTTTATTCAAACATATTGATGAATTTATTTATTTTTAATTGATGATTTTATGTAGTTGTTAAAATAAATGTAAATAATAAAATAACCAGCCCTTATGAATTTATTAGCCTACGATTTTCCACTCAAAGGTTTAACTGAAACTCACGCTACGCCAATAATTCTGTGCTGAGCGAGGTTTCATCAGGAGGAATCGCACTTCAATGTGTTGTCTCCGTTTACACAAGTAGGTAAGGTAAAGTGGGGGTAAGTGTGACGCAAAAATGAAAAGTTAATTTTGAATTTGACAATACTTTTTTTGTTTTTAACTTAAAGTTGTTATTGTTCCATAAAGTAACACCTCTAGATATACATAATTGGAATTTATAGTCAACAAAGTTATATTATCACTCACCTAAGAATAATTTTTTTTTTTTTAATTTTAAAACGTCACACTTGCCCCTTTTCATGGGGCAAGTGCAAAATCGGATTGTTTTTGCTATTAGTATTACATAAAATTATATATGGGGCAAGTGAATAACAAAGATAAAAATAAGCTTTAAGTTGATTTTTGTTTTATTAAAATATCTTGATTCATTAAGAATTGACAGAGCATTATTTAAATTTAATTATTTACCTATGTTATATATAAAAGCAGTACTTTTTTTAAAATCCTGATTTAAAATAAAGCTAAAATTTCACTACTCTCTGAGAACCTAAAGGCTATTACCTATGACCAGGGCCCCGCAATACCTATAGCGCCGGCACTGTACCTACACATAGTTCGTCAAAAATAGTAACAATATTGACTATCGTGATGTTTACATACTAATATGTTAATTGTATTCTTTCAATCTGATCTGTAATCGGTTAATTTATGGTCGTTGAAGATTGAACGTCTAAACAGTAAGGTATAGCGATTTGACGTCTGGAGAGCCAAACTAACTGGTTAATCTATGGTCTTTTGGTAACTCTATTGTCGATACAGGTATATCACTGAAAAGTAGGTAACATATTAAATAAATTATACAAATATTCTACAGTTTTTCCCCCCCCCCTCAAAAAAAAAGTTTTCTATGTGGCCTGGTAATGATTTGAATGGCCTGCAAACATTTTGGCACCAAAAAAAAAATGTTGAAATGACCCCCTTGCCATAGATACTATTATGGCATATCTAACTATTATATTTTTGAATATATAATTCTATTGCAAATGTTTACGATGCAATACGATTCTATAATATATTTAGTTTTTAATTATTGTTAAGTATTTTAATATTAACGAACAACGAAATTATCAGGTAAGGAGACGGTTATTTCTATTTTCTAGGGCCCTAAAGTCTAAGTGGGTATCTATTTCCACTTGACTTCACCATTACAGAACCGGAACTTTAAATGCTTCTGAGAAATTAATAAAAACTATTGAACAAAATGTTTCGGTACGAGAACTTAAGTAACATTGATTTCGTATCCATAGATTTAAAAGTAACCTTTATAAAAAAATCGTACACCGTCTTGGAAACGACCCTGGTCGTAATTACAGCCCCCGGGGCTATAATACTTTTCTGTTATTATAGTATTAGACATACCCTTGTTTCCAACACTTGTCTCTAATTGTTGTTGTTGGGGGGGGGGGGGTAAACAGCCGAGAACAGAAAATGACAGTCGACAGACATCACCCTTACGTCATGTACGAGCTCGTGGTTTGGAACTTAAATTCGAAGGTTGGTTTAACATTATTTGAAGCGGCGGATTTTAATACGTGCCTAATATGCAGAGGAAATATTCAAGTAGGACCTCTCTCCATATTTTACTCGTTGTGATTAGAAGTTACCTTTTGTATTATTATAGACTATAGTGCATTTTATAATAATTTTAAAGAATAATATTATTTGTGTTTTGTCGGAAGCTTTTTTTTATTTTTAAGTTGGTAACGAGTAGGTACTTACTTATTTAATATTTAGCTGTTTATAATTTATTAATAATAATATTTTCTTAGACATATTAAAAAAAAGCTACTGATAGTAAACACAGATAATTTTATTCTTTTTTAAAATTTTTTTATGAATTATAATAGGTTATTATAACACCTTGATTTGAACAATGTATAATAATCACTACGGTTGAAATACGGGGAAAGGTTTTAACTAAAATTAGCTATATAGGTACCTATCACAATGCAGTGTAAGATGGATGAAAAAATTACACTGGTGTGCTCTCTTATGATAATAGCCTAGCTAGTAAGCCACTGAATTAACAAATAATTCCCAACAAAATAGCATCAACATTTTATCAAAGTGAAAATGCAAATAAACAAAAAATAATATTAGGTAGGTACCTAAATAATACCTCGTTACTTTACTTAGGTAGACGTTGAATTTATCTTTTATGCTCTCCAACAAGAACTTGCAGTCTTTAATGAAATCTGTATTTTTATTTTCTAAAAATTATAAGTAAAGTTAGTACCTACCTACAAAAGTTACGAAATAGTGCAATACTGCAATATAAAAAGAACAAAAATTACATTAAAATTGTATAATATATTATAAAAAATCAAAACGGTTGAAATAGACATTAAAAGAATTCGTATTTTTAATCACATATATACCTTCATAGCACACTTAGTTCATAGGCACATAGCATAGTATTACGATCAACTACAAAAATGTGAGCCCCAATCATAACATAATATACAGAGAACTATCAGAGAACTGAAATAAAAGTGAGACTGTTGGATATTGGAAGAATAACGAATAATAGTGTATGAAATGTCGAAATATAACAGTATAAGATGAAGTAGAATTAAAAATATAATTATAAAACGTACAGGATTATTTTATGATAACAAACCGACAGTTTTATGTGCGAAAAAGGCACTGTTGGGTGGCAAACGACAACGATATTTGACGACGCAGTACATAAATGTGTCGGGTTCCTATGATATCGCACACCTAGATCATATCTGTAATAAATCAAAAAGTTAGTTTTTTAGTTAAGCATAGGATATAATATTATTATAATATTATAGTTCATCACAGGGCCTAAAATTAAGATTTTTTAATTGCTACTGCACGTCTGCACACCTAATTCCACACCAAAATATTTTAAAATAATGAACGTAGACCTAGTAGTGCACATGTCACATATACTTCATTGTATAATCTTCTATAAAAGTCCTCGATACCTCTATATTGCTATATGACTAACATTTTAAAATTAAAACGAAATAGCTTGGGTTAATATACTTATTATATTATAAGCCGTCCAGAATATGGTGTAGTCGGTATTATTTTTAATGTTAAGGATTTTAAACTAATACAATATGCTAATTCGTAATTTTCAATAACCAATATTGAATATTAATCAAATAAAAATTTATAAAAGCCCAAAATAAGTACTGCACACTTTTAAATTTGATACTGCCCATTTAATATTAGATACTGCACATAGTGTGTGCTACTGCACACAATTTTAAGCCCGGGTTCATCATGGTTTTAGTCAACCACTCGGCACTCCTTAACAAAAAATATTGAAAATTGATTGAAAACAGTTTTTGAAAAAATGTTTATGTTACTTGGATTCTTAAAAGGAAGGAGTTTATTTTGACACCTCAAACTGCTCTAGACTATTTCTTTAGATGGCGATCAAAACATTAAAAGAAAAAAAAAATTGGAAAATATTACTTTTTCTCGTACTTAGGGGTTGGCGACAGTTTTTAAAATGACGTTTTCCGTTTATGTTTCTTAACTGAAAAATAATTTGCACATTTACGTGATTTTGACGAATTCCGTAAAAATTCTAACTTCGGCTAATCATAACAATTTAGAGTGGATTTAATCTCAATTTTTATTTTAATCACACTTCAATTTATAAGGAATCTGTCATAACAATTTCAAGGTTTTTAATCGAGCGAAAAATTATTTACTGACAATTATTGAAAAAAACTTAAGAAATCGATAATGTTTCATAGCTATAAGGCTTCAAAAGTGTCAAAGTGTTTTTAAAATGTTATCAAGTATATAAAATACTATTATTAACATCTAGAGGGAAATTTAAAGGATCGATGGTCAATCGTAAGTATAACACAAATAATCACCTAACATCCAACCACCGGCCACTGGACTACGTGAACTTTTGAAAATCCGATTTGTAGTTTCAACTACAAAAGACTAGCAGTTAGCACCGCCGAATACAACGTTATAATTTATTGTTGGTTTTTTGTTATAAAATCAAGAAGAGAAACGCTTAAAAGTGTACAAAAATCCACTGAACAAAGGATTCGGATATTGTTGGTTTATAGAAGATCAAAGTTTAATTTTTAAAATTTTAAGTTTGGAAGATACTTTTTCACACTTAACTCATATCTTATGTGCACGAAGTATATTATAAGAACGTCTTTTAATGCTACCCAAAACGGCGTGTTGAATAAACCAGACGTTGGACTTTAGTTCAAAGGGAATTTGAAATTTCCTCACTCACAACTCATAAGTGATTTAAATATACAATTTTCCATTTGGCTATATGAGCCCTCCAATATTGAAAAATATCCGATGGTAACTGAGTGGGCCAGAGGCTTTCCAGTAAAGAAATGTATTCCCATATCATGCATAATTTAGATATATAGCTGCACAATAAGTAAATATTATAAAAATACCATATTATGAGGTGGATAGGCTTTTTTTTGTGGGAAAAAGGCCACACATGAAAATTGCACTTCAAATAACACATCACGCATAACCGTTTTCGAACCACAAAAATAATTCGAAAAATTTGTTGAACATGTATTTTTAATTTTACAACATATATATATTGCATACACTTATACAATATTAAAAATGTTTTTGGTACTATAATATTGTTTATTATTTGTGGTAACATGACTAGGTATATAATTAACCAGACATGATTGCTAGACTTAGATTGTTTCAAGCAGACATTATTTCCCAGACTTAAAAGCAAAACTATTTAATATCATAATATATGGAGTGAAAAATAATATTAAGAAAATTTTGAAAAGGAATGTTCATTTATCAATTAAAATGACGAACATTTTTTTATAGATTATACTATAAAAGTTGTTAGTAAAATTCATAAAAAAAAACTGTTGTACCTTTTTTTAGGGCCTTGGGACCACCAACAGTTAGAATAAATTTCCCAATAGGCTTTTATCCACCCTTGATAAAACTGATATTAATCATTATATTTTGATTCCCATGTTGGTAAAATAAAATAAATTGTATACTTACTTTTTTTATTAACAAAGTATTATGCTGGAACCAGGGGTGTAGGTCTTTACCCGAAGTCCACCCCCTTCGGTGCACAACTGACACGTGTAACGTTGATGGCGGTCCCTCCGCAGAAAATCGACACACGACACCTCTTCGGTGCTACAAATAACATAACATTATAAGACACAAGATTATTATTGTTATTATTATATCGGTACAAATATGTCCTAACTAGTAACTACAATATCATTCCTCAGGGTTCGGTTAGCGTTGTTATATAAGTGTGAATACATTGACCTATAAAGGATAAACAATAAACTTAAATGTATAAGAACATCAAATAAACAATCCGTTTTAATTTGCAAGTGAATTATGCCAGCATTTTTAGTAGTAACATATTACGTACCTAGGTTGGATAGGACCTCATAATCTACTCATCAAGCTTCGCTTAAAAATTGAATCATCGCGATAAAGCCGAAAACCAGAAATATATTGTTATCTCTAAGATCGATAATATTATCCACTCAAACATTGAAACTGTACCGAAAGTAAAAGCGTGAACTGCAACACGGCGGAAAATGTCCCACGTTGCACGCACACGTACACCTTATGGTCATATTAATATTGTGGAATATAGATAATAGACAACGAATGAGGGTGTGGCGTCCTCTCGGCGGTCTTCGCTAGACTAAACCGGAGTGAAAAATAATTCACCGGGATGATGTTTGGACGATTTACATGGTTCGTTAACACGGTGCAGGATAATGTGGGTCTTGTGGGATAATTTTAAACTTGTCTAGTTTAGCGAATTTATAGACTGTCAGACGTTTTTCGAATGTCGCAGACGAAATAGGTAATGAAAAACGCAAAAACTCGAAAACCACCCACCACGGCGTCAGTACGATGTCCTCTCGTTATTATAATACAATTATATTAATGTTATAATATTGTAATAATAATATTATTACATCGTTGTAACGAATAAAACCCGTCGTCACCCGTGCCGTTATCTATATCAAATAAAATTGTCGTCGTCGTTTGGCAATAATGATTTATCAATTTGTCTTCGAGAGTCGCTCACACGATAAGTCGGCCAGGTGCTCGTGACAGGTTGGGTTAGCTTATATATCACACACACACACACACACACACACACACACACACACTCAACACGGTTTCGAGTGTTCAAACAAATAATAATATAATGACGATACGTATGCGCCCACGTCGCGTCGAGCACCGTGTATTCCGCATATCGTATGTTGTGTTCTTATCGTTTCTTCGTCCGCTACCGGCAGTCCGCGAACACACGCACCGACGAACGTCCGCCACCGCCGTCGACCATGATCCGCGGACCGATCGTGGCCGCCGTCTTACCGTTACCGCCGCCGCCGTCGTCGTTGTCTTTGTTGTTGTTGTTGTCGTTGTCGTCATTGTCGTTATCGTCGTTGTCGTTGACGAGCGCCGGGTCGACCGCCCTGAGGCGCCCGGTGGAGATCCGAGTGGCTGTCATACTGCCCGCCGAGTCCAAGTTCATCACCACGCTGTCCAAGGTGATGCCCGTGCTGGACATCGCCGTCCGCGATCTGTACGCCAAGGGCATACTTCGGGAGACTGACGTCACGTTCAGGTTCATGCAAAAGGACGACAAGTGTGAGGACATCGAGGCCATGCGCTCCGGTTTCGAGCTGATCATCAACGGCCGGGTCGACTTGTTCCTGGGACCCACTTGCGATTACGGCGTCGGTCAGTTAGTTTTGTAATATCGTGATATTACTAAATTATAGGTATTATATACAGTGCACGGCTATAAGCTCCTGGGCCAGTGTGTAAGGATTTATTTTGAGGCCACAAATTAATATTATTATTGATATTTTTAAAATATAATAAGGAAGTTAAAGTTACATACTGTCTTTATTAGTTATTAATTTTCATTCACCATCCCAACAAATCAATAAACGTTACCTACTCTACTAAAGTAAAATTAAAATAACTGAAACAATAGGTTGGATGACGTTTTTCTAACAAATTTGGCACCTATTATAGTTATATCGTGTTATTGGCTATTGCGAAGGCCGGTCTAATTTTTGCCGAAAACATGGCATTAATTATTGTATTAATAAATATTTAATTATTATAATAGTCTATATTCCTATCATATTATATTTATTATTAATAATTTTTGAGTCAGTACAACCTCCTGTAAAACAGTATGAATAGTTCATGGTACACATACTAATTGCTTAAATTTTTAAATTAATCTAAATATTTTAAAAATTTCATTGCATATAGTACCTATAGTAAAATTTATAAGTCCCCACGAATAATGTTTTTGAATTACAATAAAATAATACTAAAATCGTTATTCTTCGTTTAAATATCTAATTTCATCCGAGTTTGAACTTAAAATGTCAATATAATAAAAAGCTGTGTTAATATATTTTTAGAGTTTTTGGTTACAATTTTAACTAGGTAGGTACTTATGAAAAACATTGTTCTAAATTTTTAATTCTTAGTTAAAAAAATTAAGCATTTTATAAATTTTTAACTAGGTGCAAAATAATTTGAAAACAATTGTGATTTTAAAGAATTTTTATCAATATTAAACTTTAAACTCTAATAAAAATCATGCTTGCGTAGGTAGAGGTACATAGGTATAATATTAATACTTTTAAACTACTATTAAGGGGATTGGAAGCGGCGATTTTCTGTCTTTATCTAACACACGTGGAACATAGGATTATAGACGTGTTCTATGTCCAACGTACCGATTAATCTAATGAAGCGATAAGAATTCTGAAAACAGATTTGAATTTGTCGTCAAGTCTACTTGAGATCGACTTTCCCACATTTTTGATATTGTCCCACCAAAATCATAAAAATGATATATTATAAAAAGTACTTAAAAAATTTACAAATTTCAACTTTTGGAGAAGTTTAAATCAAAAAATCAAAAATGTGAGAAAGTCGATCTCAAGTAGACTTGACGACAAATTCAAATCTGTTTTCAGAATTCTTATCGCTTCATTAGATTAATCGGTACGTTGGACATAGAACACGTCTATAATCCTATGTTCCACGTGTGTTAGATAAAGACAGAAAATCGCCGCTTCCAATCCCCTTAAAATGACTTATCACGAACCTTTTATTACATTCTTAAGCTGTTTAACAAGGTGAAACATTTTTATTGACATATAATATATAGAAAAAAACTAAAGAATTTTAAAAATTTAAAATGTCTATTTGAATAATAGGAATGATATGCATAACGAAATTAGATTGGGACTAAATACAGCAAATCGTGGCTATTATGCAATGAGTAAATTATTCAGATCTAAGCTTCTTTCCAGAGAAACTAAGAAAAAGCTTTATATTTCCTACTTACGGCCCATAGTAATGTATGGGTGCGAAAGGTGGTCCACCACTAAAGGGGACGAGACAAAGCTTTTAATATTTGAAAGAAAGATCCTCAGAAGAATATATGGTCCCATATATTATAATACGAAAACAGGGGAGTATGAAAGGAGAACAAATGGAAATATTGAAAGAATCTTAAATGGACCAAATATTCAAAAATATCTTGTCTCAAAGAGACTGGAATGGGCTGGTCACATATGGCGAGATAAGGACAGCCAAATGAGACAAGTTGTGATATCTAAACCAAATAAAACACGCCCCAGAGGAAGACCACGTGAAACTGCAATAATTGAGGATACAGACAACAGAGACCGATGGAGAGACATAGTAGAAGCAGCGAAGGGCCTTAATGGCCTGTAGAAGCTAAAAAAAAAAATGTCTATAAACAGCTCAATCAGAGTAAAAATATTTTAAGACGCCTTAAACTATAAGCTTAGTTTTGAAATTCGCTGGGAAATCCTTCCACCAAAAATTAAAAAAAAAGTAAAATATGTATTTAAAAAGCCTTCAACAGGTGTCGCCTACTCCTAAGTTCGAAAAAAGTAACATTTTCCAAATTTTTTTCTATCATCGTATAGATAGCCATATAAATAAATTGTAAATCCCAGTTTGAGGTGACAGAATAAAGTCCATCGACTTTTATATCGAACTATTATAAACGTCGTTTTAAAAATTGTTTTTAATCCCTTTCCTATAGTTAAAACTAACATTTTCGAAATTTTTTTTATTACAAAATTGTTACACACCGATCAGTGCCCCCAAAGTCCAATTATTATTATAACTATAATATAATATATATATAATTATATAAATTTAAAAAAAAATTGCTTTTTTGTGTATAAATTTGAGTGTTGCCGAGCATCATCAGTAATTGCGTTATTTTAGAACATTTTTGTTTCTTTTCACATTGTGCTCGCAACTCGTCACGGCTTTCGTTTCTCGCAAAACCCCCTTAGATGTTGGACCGGCGTGCCGACGGGCTGCAGTTTATTTCGAGTTGTCGCGCGCCGTCGGAAGTTTTAATTGCAATTATGGCAACTTCGGAGCCAACTGCATTGACGGAGATTAAAAGACACCTCATAATTATTTTACTTGTCTCTGCGGAACAACAACGTGTTATTTCTATGGCACAAACTTTATACTATAGCGAACGGTTTCGATATAGACAGCTACTGTAATAATAATACACAAACATTGTAAACGTCGAGGGCCATATATTATGTAATCCGAAATTCTAAACTTGTGTAGGTATACGAAATCGTTTTACTCGAGATTTGAAATTTGCAATTTTATGTTTACACTCGTGCGGTGGCGGTTAATGTCGTTATATTTTATGATTTACATAGCATTTCTCACTGTCAACTACCTATATATCCGTGCAACTGGAGGGATTATTTTTCGGCATTATTTTTGAGTTGTAGGGGAATACATGTAATTCCGAGTCAAAACCGTACACAGTCAACCTATATATTCGCTACAACTCTGGAAAACTATAGTAAAGTGTAAAAGTTTTACTGATGAAGATCTCGATTCATTTCGATTAATAGAACTAATTAATTTCACGTTTTATGTAATGCTGCAGTAGGCGGTGTGTCTACTGTCTACATTGTCATTAATTTGTTTTATAAAATAATAGAAATGATCAATGTTGTGTTTGACTTGTTTTAGCCTTATCCCTGATTAGGACTTATTGATTTTATGTCTTATAGTATTTTGGTTTTAATATGTTTTCTGCCGATACATCTTACATCATGTCTTAGTATATAAGACTTCTTAAACATATTTCGGCTCGTTTTCGATTTTGTTATGGGAATGTCAACGTCGATTGCGGATTATTATATGTTTTTTTCTCATATGACGGGGTTGAAATAAAAGTCGACTGAACATCCATAAAAGTTCAAATATCAATATTAAAAAAGAAAAGTTCTAAAAACTAATAATATAACTTATATTTGATAATAGGATTTTAACTTACATACCGTTTCAGTTGGTGATCCCTCGATGGTATCATATTATAAAGTTTTTATGTTTCTTATATTTTGTCAGTTAACAACATTATAGTTACATAAAAGTTATTATTTGAGAGTTTCCGAACTGATATGTTTTTAATTAATTCATATGAGTGTGTATTCATGTATAATAAATAAATAGTAATAGTATAATATAATCCACGTAGGTACCTTTAATAGGTGTAGGTGCACTGTAATTATTGCCATTCAATTATACTGCAGGTGTAGGTACATAATTAATATGAATTTAAATAAGATTGGTTTTGGGAGATAAAATATAATTGAGTTGAATTTGTTGAATTATACTTTAGTTAAAATTCGTATAAATGGGTTCATTTATGTCTTTTATTTGATTCAATGAATTTAGGGTGTCTGAAATATTTTTACACTTACATATTTTTTAGTTATTTGATGAATTACTTTATTAGCTTAAAGTAAACGAAATCATCTCACGTCACGAATTAATAAACGAGTATAATTTTGCATAATTTTACATAACTTATGTAGCTTAAACGTAAATTGATTATTTTTGTTTCTCATTATATTTTAAATTATTTAAAAAGTAATTTCTTTTACAAGCAAGCAATTTTCCTTTCATTGAAATTTATACACTAATATTAATTTATAATTAAAAATAAAAAAAATTAAATTTGAACATTTCATGTTTAAAATAATAAGCCATTATAAGTAAATATTATATTTTTACCGTTTGAAATTCTAAAAACGTAAAGCGTTGAAAATAAAAGTAAGTACTTACTTAATCTTTATACCTACCTTACCTAACCTACTACTCGCGATCTCGAAAATCTCGAGTAACATAGGTATTTCTTTAGCAGTAGGATTATTGGTATTCAGCGTGAATTACACAATATATACGACATAACACATTATGTTCTATAGGTAGCATACAATTCATCCGTACATGTACTACGTCAGTTTGCCACTAATTAAATTATAAAATAATAATTTATTGATAATTCTTATTCCTAGCTAAATATAATTAAATTCAATAGTGGATATTATAATTGTTTATGCTATATTTTATACTATACTTCTATACAATTATTTAACCTATTGAAATTGTTGATAGTGTTTTCCTCGACCCAATGTCAATAACACAATGTAAAAATAATCAAACAATTATTGTTTTTTTTTAAAACAAGCACTATTTTTTATTTCTTTGATTTGATTTAACCTACGACACACTTACCATATACATTATATTATTATATACATAAATTAATAAGAATATTTGTCTTTTAAAATTATGTAAAGCAAACTATAATTATTAACACAAAAATCATTTAATAGAATTTAATTCTCAATATGTTTCAGAG